ACATCTATGAAAACTGGAATCGCTAAGTAAAAGTACCGCTAAAAAGACCAGGAAAGAAATTATATTCCTCCTAGAAAGCGCAGTCAGTGTCCATCCACCAAATCCAATGGGATCTGAGATGTGCACTGCAGAACGACTATGATTGTTCCCTCGGGAGAACAACTGTAATACAATCCGAAATATTGATCTATGTGCATAGAGGAAATAGTGAGGTNCTAGTAAGAACAAACAGTTCCAGATTTTAAATTTCAAGCACCCATCTGCAGTGACTCTGGATAACTAGACTCTACTGAGGCTCTAGGATTGCTGCTGCTACTGTCTATGAAAGACCACGGTGGGTCAGATTTGTGCAGCGAATCATGGTTTGAACGCACAACACATAAGACTTTCACAAGACCCCGATATTCTGCACCGTAAAGTGATTTCTCATTTAAAAGCAGGTAGACAGGGCTTTGGATAAATAATGAGCACATAACGCTTGATGGATGGTCACCGATGGATTTGAAGTAACCATCTCGTCCAAGGATAGGAGAGAAAAACTAACGACTAGCCACTTGTGAAACAGTTCAACAATTCTAGTCTTCTGACAACTTCCCTACCGTGTGGAAATAATTTTTCCCATCAGCCATTGGATATTCTAGAGAAGTATGAGAAATATGGTATCAACAACGCGGGGGCGAAGGGAGAGACATCGCCCAGTGACCGACCAATAGGCATGAGGATTGTAAAGTTAAATAAATCTATCATTCACCCCAAGGGAAAACAGGGGAAAACTGTTAATTCAGTCGGGAGCGCAACGAAAGACAATGAATAAGGCTTCCATATTCTGATTTCGTCGGTGCTCTTCTGGTCAAGGCATTTTTTATCACATATTTCGAGCGGTGAACCGTACAGACGGGGGACGAGGTGGACTTCACGGTCATGAAGACCTGCCAGACGGTGATGGAAACCGACAACCTAAGCCCTTTGGGACTTGGAGTGGCAAACCACAGAAGACCCCATTAGGTTACCTGCGGTACTGAACCGGAAGACAGCGAAGCTATATGCAGTACACAAAGGAAACTAAGGTCGAATTCGGATAATATGTACGCAACCAAACGCTGGAACTTACCTTGAACAAGATCCCAAAGCCATAGAAGAAGTTGCTCATTGGTAAATAGTTTTTCCGACCACGTATCATGAACGCACCGGTGTTGAGATATTCACCACTGGGTGCGGTTTTTGAGACCTGATCAGCTCGTACCCACCACGCACTGGTTACGACACGAGCGTTCCAGGCCGAGCTGAGCACGATAGCCATTGTGCCTGCTTCGGTCAGAGTTTTCTGGGGTGGAATGGGTATGACGGGGGGTGCAGTTGGTGCTGGATCAGCACATTCGACACCGGCTATTGAGTTGGAAGGACAGAAATCGGGGGTGGGGATGAGAAACAAAGAGGTTTGAGTAATAGTTTAGCATTCCTTCACGTTAAAATAAGTATGGAATCACTTTCGGCAAGAAATTGACGCAATATAAGATACTTCTAGGTGTTTATTGTATCGGAAAACAGTGTCCAACTGGATCGTTTAGAACACACACTGCGTTTGTGTGCGCCACAGTCTCCGGTTGGTTATCCGACCGAACAAGGCACCAACATAACGAGATGTTAATCGGTATGAACCGCAGAATGACTTGGCCTCGTGCGATGCTGCGTACACAACCGGGTTCACCCACAGATCGCTTGTCTTTGCCTTCTTCCGGTGGCGCTCGTCTCACTTCATCATTAAGTAAGTCGGGGAAGGGACGGAGGCGCGCTGAACCTAAAGCTGGGCCCTCGATAGACACGACAGATGTCACAGCGACACCAAAGAAAGCTTAGTTTCGCCAGTGATAAACAAGCCCTTTCTGCAAGATTCACCCACCAGAAAAGAACTGCTGAGGTAGTAAAGTTTGTCACAGTTTTCTAAAGCCCCCCGCCTCGATACAACTGCGACAGCATTTTGCACTGTGAAGATGCGAATTACATGCTAAACAAGTTGTACTAATGGTAAAATTCTTCAGAAATTAAAAATACCCCATCGGGCACTTTGATCAGCAGCACAACCTTGTCTGCATACTCTGTAGATCGGGGAGCCAACTCGTTATCTGGAAGCACGCTGATGAGACCAATTGAATACGAGGAGGATAAAGCTACTTCTTAAGTAGTATGCATTGAAAAGTTGAAGCAATCAGAGGTTTTGAGTACAACACAATAATATGCTACAGGGAACCAGAGATCGCTTAGGTGGGACCTTGGTCGATTATCGGTGTCGAGACTATGATGCGTAGAGAACCCTATCCTGAACATAGTTTTGCGACAAATCGACCGATCACACTTAGTGTTATCAACCAGTTCAATCATTTCAAAGCACTTTTAAAATTTGTTACCCTAGTAAAAACGGTTATCCAACACAATAGAGAGGAAAAATTGATTTGTACAGTATTTCAGCAAAGTACATCCGCTGAGAGCGTCACCAGAGACAAAGCGAATATACACCAAAGCGGGAAATCGAACAAGAATTGGAATGCGAGCTTACTTGACTCGGATACGGCCTCTTCGGGTAGAAGAGGTCTGGCTTTAATTATCACACTGCTGGCCCCGTGCAAATCGGCATGCACATAGATATCGTCTGGACCGAGGTAACGCTTGACCAAAGCCTCATTCTGTAGCGCATCACGACCGGCCACGACCAGATAGTTCTCAGAGCTGATGAACCAGAAAAATTTCTCAAACCTCGACGAGTGCGCGGGAACAAAAAAAGGAAAGAAAATTGAAGATGTCGAAAGGAGCGCTGATCGAACGGTCTTAAATTAGTCGGAATTTGTGACTATCGTAGAAAAATTCTACAGTATTCGATATGAGGACCGTTTACATTTCTGAAAAATAATCACAAATCAACGAATTGACGACATGCGTTGCCACCAGCGGTGACCGCACCCGATGCCTATTTCTAACAAGCTATTTGGTTCGTGCTACCGGATTTAAATCTTCGAGGATGACCCGTGTCTAACGAACTGACAATAACCCGATTCCCCCAGAAGCAGAATAGAATGATGCCCATGTCGACACATCAACTACGAAACCGAAATTTGAGACTTTAATCGGGTTAATGAATTACGGGCGGCGGGTTACTCTCGTAGATACATCTGGAAAACCATTATCTAAAAGATACTAAGAGGCAAGTGATTTGGATACAAGAACCCTTGGTCAGGATGATGAACGACTCAAACGAGTACGCTGGACATGTGACAGCATCTCAAAAATGCACACTTTGACTGCTCTAGTATCGATTCTCAGTGGAATGCGGTCATCATTCATCGCTTGAAGAGTGCTGCTAAGGTAAACACAGGGCCCGGTGTTGTATCCCCAAGAATACCATCTGCATTGGTGTTGACAATTTAAAACTACAGAGTAGCTTCCCTGTACTGAACGAGATGGATAAAGGCGGTTATTTGTTACACGGACAACGTAGTTTGACTGTTTCGTTGTATGGAAGACGAAGAAATGCACCGGACAGACTTGCAACTTTTGTCACCCTGTTCGGTATGAGCTTTACCGCCTTTAAAACGTAAACCTCGGTATTGTCTACACCTGCACTGGGTTGATGGTCAGGAGTTAACCATAGAGTAGATTGCTTCTCACACTCAGGTAGTTGCCCAAGCAAACGCGGTAAACGCACGCGAGACCGAAACACCCGAGATGACGACATTACGTTTCACTGAAGTTGCAAGGTCGTCTATACTGAGTCACAATGCGGTCGATTCTGTTTCACTGCTGAAACCTTGAGTTTGCGCGTGTACGACATTTATTATTTGGAGGCTTTCGTGTGGTTACGTGGGGCATGCAGCTCAGCAACGTGGAGGTAAGACATCGTGTATTATGGAAGGAAGAAATCGGTGGAACACTCGTAATCACACCGAATTCGGATAAGTAGGCTTCGTGAGTCAGGACACGTGTTCCGAATACCAAGCAGTCGTCTACTATACTTCACAGCTGGTAGTCCAAGGTTGAACGAAATCATGTGGAAGTTAACAGATCACATGGAGTGGGTAGAATAGGCGTCTCTCGCCCTTCAGGTCGATTGAGGACACTGAAAAACATGACAACGAGCTGACAGGGATGGTGTTTTTGTTTCGATCTCTTACCAGGCCAGATTGCGTGAAAAGATGTGCACGCACGGCTGGGCTGTGTACTCAGTGTTGACCACTTTCTAGCCCCGTGAACTCGAAATAGGCCTATTCTCTAGCGAGTCTACTACAAATTGACAGTACTTTGCATGTATTGTGAGTTGGGCAGCGATCGGCGAGGTTCGTTTCATCGATAATGATAATGATATTCACCGCCGACAGACATGCAGAGATAGCAAAACGAGTAAAGGATGACTTGGCGTGGCTGGCTGGCTCGTGTTTCTTGCCTTGTTTTGTTCAGCCCTTGAAACCGAAGTCACAAAACTGCTACTTCCGGGCTAGATGGTCAGTGAACAACCCACTAATTCAATCAGACGAGAAGAACTGACACGATGTGGACAGGAATGAACTGAAATACTACAAGTTACTCAGCGTTTTATTCGAGCACGCTGAAGATGTTTTGAACGAGAAACAAACTAACGCGAACATTTTTCTGGTAGTAGCAACATTGCATAAAAAAGAAACAAAGTCAGGGAATAAATCACTCAAAGTTTACCTCCTGATAGGTAAATCAATCAAGCAGTCAATGACCAGAACACGTGAAAACATAGATAAAAGAAAACAGAGGGGGGGGGGTGAATGAAGCCTGTGCCTCCAAGGCTGCGGTTTCAGTCGGAAATGACTGAGAGAACTTACCACATCGGTTTTCGTACTTTGGCAATCTGGACGAGCGTTTTCACATCCTTGCGCATTTGTTCGGCTTTGAAAGCGGCAGATTTCAGGGCCTGACCAACGCAGTGATGGATGTAACAATGAGGAACGTGTGATGGTGGGAATCCGAGGAAGAGTTATATGCGCGAGAAATAAAAGCCCTGTATCATAACTATTTTTAACACATCAGGACCAACTGATGCTAGGAGTGTATCGAAAAATCAATGCGCCATGTGTTGTTTTATTGTGAATATTATAATGTTAATAACACAGCGATGTCGATAGAGAATTGTAATCACCGATGTTTCGGTTACCATGGGTAATCTTTATCAAGGCAGGTTTTACAATCCGATGACTCAAAGGAAAGGATTACAAGTCAACGGATATTTCATCGTTGTCTGTCATACTAACTCCCATTATCAGATGGAGTCAAATGGCATAAAGTAGCAATTGCCGGAGATAGAACTTATTCTACCCCTACATACCAAATACTTCGCTGTAGCCGCTCCGGGCTGGAGGAAATCACGTGGAGGTCAACAGATGACGTATAGACGACGGACGANGACGGACGAAGAGATGCACACAGCCATTAGGTGGAGTAGGTGTCTTCAGGCTTCCAGGTTGGGGTCTGAAAGACTCCACAACCGGTTGGTAGGAGACATTGAAGGATCTGACAGCGAACCGACAGCAGCGGTGTTCCTGTGATCATGTCTTATTAAGCCAGAATGCTTGAAACGGCGTGTATGTACAGTTCGACTGTGCACTCTGTGTTGACCATGGAGGTTTACCTTCTTCTCCCTCCCTTTAAATAAATCCAATCCCTGTCCACCTTTGGCATTATCACTGACTTGGAAGTTTGACAGCGATTAGTTAAGTTCGCTTTATTGTATTTTGCTGCACGATAACGATGATCCCAAATACCGAGCGCTTATCGTGTCCGATCTTCGTACTGTCTATTAGTTTGACAATATACAAAAATCGTTAGTTTTTGTTTTACTCAAATATGTCGCTTAGTTCACTATAATCTATACGGAATCTGATACTGCCTCAAAGGATTCACCTGTTTTACTTTCATGCTCTGTCTACGTGGTCACTGCTTAATAACCACTCCGAGCACGCTCTGATATTGAGTGTGCGGTTGGAGGAAGATCGGGTTATTCGAGGTTATATTCTTTTGGCTAAAACTCTCCAGTGTAGAATTGATCATCGTGAGGTTACGGTGAAATGCCGTTTAAGTGTATAGGCTCATATTCTGCGCTATCATATGCATCTGGATGAATACCAGTAGCTTTATTCTCTCAATCGGTGAAAATTGACTACCAGGTGCTGTTGTAAACAATAACAAAAACAACAGATAAGCTCTTGTTTTCAAAAGGTACACCACTTGGGAGCATCAAACACCTGTCGGCAGAATAAGAGAAAATGACAGATTTTCACCTGGACAGCGAAAGTATCGTCACTAGTTATGGTCAGAATGCCTTCATGATTCTGGTGTACTTTGTTAGACAAGCTTGGTCTAAAAATTTCAATGTCCAACAGTATGCTTCCTAGTTTAAAACGCACTTCAATTTTGCTATATAATCATCATCATCATCGTACAGCGAAATACCGTGAAGCGAACTTCACTGACCGCTGCCAAACTCACAATGCATACAAGGTTAGTGGTAAAATTGAAGGTGGACAGGGGTTGGATCTATTTTGAGGAAGGGAGAAGATGAGGCACTATGCTATATAAAAATGAATGCAAAAGAAATTTGTTTAAACTGCATGGATCTAATTATAGACTAGATTTCCGAATGATTTTCTAATAGATTTCCTCGCTCAGATAGGGAAACAGAACCAAGCGAGAGGCGCAGATGAAGTCACTCAATGTACGAATAACATGCTTATTTGCAGGGAACAGAGAAGTCATACAAATGCAACTGCGCAACGATTGGTTGACTTGATCGTTGTCAACCATCCTGATAAGCTTTTGGTTCTGACCAATCACTGGAGTTCGTTTGTCCTTGTTCTGATTGGTTATCCAAGTTCTCAAGGAATACGATGTCCCTAACATGTCGAACTGCTTAAAAGTTGGATGCACACGGTATTCGTGTTATGAACTTCGATTATACGTGCCAGTAACATGGTTATCACAAACAAATTCAACAGAGAACCTGTTTAGGTTTGCCATCAGACAAGGACTCCGCAGTTTATCCACATGACTGGGCATCACACTTATCTAGCAGACCGACCTGCAACGGTTATTCGATCGAAAACTACCACACGATGTATAAAGATAGATCAGTTTATAGCTGAATATAAATCCATACAAATGAATGAAACGGGATAGGAATCACAATCGTTCGGCCATCTTGATCAAACGTGTAACTGGTCTATTTGCACACAGTAAACAGTCACCAATGAGAGCACGACAATGGGAAGGTTGTGAAAACATGATGTCAACCATAGAATCCTTACTTTACGCGAAGCGACCAATGTCTTTTCCTCTTTTTTGACAGCAGCACGCTTTTTGTCGTAATATCTATCGAGCCGGGTTGGGGGGAAGGTAATGGGGCAAGGAGCAGAGAACAGAATATTTCGAGTATTGAAGTTATTGAAAAAAAACAAAGTTACATTTCAGCAGCGGAAATTGGCTGTCGTAAAAAAGGGAGTAATACATTCAAACGAGGCACGTGACAAAATCCTCATTCAAATCGCCACATCAATCCACCCAGCATAACACGCAACTGACTGGAATCTACTTCCAAAAAGACGTTCCTCTCATCCGGAGCCCAGTTATTTCCCTTAGGAGATAATGTTTACATTCCCACAACTCATTGCACAGTTAAATTATCGCTTGACTGCCGATGTGTTCGTCCCCCGTTCCGCATAACTAAGACTAATCGTGAATAACTCGTTGTATCCGCAGGTCTCATAAACAAAAACCACTATTTTTCATTCCTTCATGAGTTTTATGTTTTAATATCGTTCGACGGACACCGAAAATTATTTGTGATCCGATTCCCACGCCGAGAGAGTATGTGTATCATCCTAGGTGATTTCAACCTGCAAAACACTTGTAGCGACAATCGGAGCCCTCACGGCGGTCTCGTAGCCAATGTAAGCAATGTCCTGATGAGTAACCTTCCACAAGAATGTTCTCAATCGTACATATTACCACATTCACATTGCTGGACCATTACTGACTTCCAACCCTTCTCTTGTCGATAACTTACGACCCCTTCCCCCCCCCCCTTCAGAGCCCCTTTCTTATTCGATCAATTTCATTTCCTAATTCCGTCGTCTTAACACTGTCTTATGGTCCCATGCTCTGAGATTACCAGTCTGCTCCCTGGTGTGGCTCCCGTGAGATTTTTGGCATCTCACATTTGGTACTTATTTTTCCTTCTTAAATGTTCACTTCCGCGCCTTGATGTTTCGTAAGAACTATTCCCCAAAACATGAAAACTAACATTTAAAAGCTTGATAATAACCGTTTATGAGTACTTATTCTCGCGCAGTCAGAGCGAAAAAAGAAAACTTCTGAACGATTCAGTGTTATAATCAACCATACACTCGGAAACACCAGACTCGAGTTTCGCCCGTATTAGAGCTCATCAGTAGTGCATATCCACCGTCCCATCGCGGATTTTAACACTGGAACCATCGCATGGAAGGTGTGTGTATGTTACCACCGTGAAAACCATCTATTGCCAAGGCTGAACAAAATCGCCAAGTTAGGTCTTCCATGCAGGTTAAAGACTATCTGGGCTCAAATCTACTACGCTGGGTTAGTCATTTGCATTTAACTCACGGTTACTTGTGAGTAGTAGTGTGGGATAATTGGTATTCATTGATTAGAACTGACCGTCGTTCAGACATCACCTTCACGCACATCCCTCAGCTTTCGATTGGAATTAACAGTATGTCATCTGTGTCTCCCGTCGTTGCTATCGGGCCAACAATGAGCTGACTGACCATTTCTGATGACGACATCTGAACAAACATAAATTGGCAATTCGGTTCAGCGCCAGGGCATGAGCTGGTTGGCACAGCGGTAGCATTCAGGCCTTCCATGCCCGATGGTTCCGGAGTTCAAATTCCGGATGGGACGGTGGATATGCACTACGGATGAGCTCGAATACAAGCGAAACTGGAGTCGGTAGTGCTTCCACTCACTCGGAAGAGTTGAGAAATGTGCGTGAAGGTGAAGTCCGAGAAGGATGGTCAGTTATAATTAATCAATATTATTTATTCCATAACACTACTCACAAGCAACTGTAAGTTAAATGCAAGTGATTCGGCCGCAAAAATAAGCAACAGAAGTCAAATCGGCTCGGAATAACATAGTGAGATGGGATACAAGGGAACCTGGGCTTTTTAAACCTTGGGAGTTCTAGGAGATCAGTAAACCCTGAGTTCAGTTCAGTTTTACCACCATTAACCATGCACTATCGTCCACCGGTTTTGGTTGCTGTCTTTTGGCTGCCAATTTGGATTAAGGGGCAGGAGAAAGATTTGGAAGCTGAAAGTAGAGTGGAAGAGAAAATGTAGAACTGTAGTAGACTAAGGTTGCAAAGAAACTGAGGAGATGCACGAACGCCACTGCTAGCAACATTCAGCCGGATCACTCAATTTATCCAACTATTGATTACAATGCCCTCGAGGTCCCATCCAAGGACCTTAACAAGACCTATTTGACCGAGTCCCTTGGTTTGGTTTTTCATACCAGGTCTTAGTTTAACAGCCCTTGCCCCTTTTCCATCCGCTACCTACCTCGGCAAACATCACTCGCCAGGGCAATCTATTAGGGGACATGTGCAGCACATGACCCAATCAACGTATTCTTTGGAGGTCGACCACTTGCTCCAGTGGACGACAGCAGTTACCTTTATGTGGTGCACTTTAGTCATCCAGGTGTATTCACTGCACGGCAAAAACAATGCGCACCTAAAGATTGCTGTCAGAATGTAGACTACAAACAAAAAAGCACGCTCGTCACCGAGCAAATAGTTAACGTGCTTATTGCGGTTTAAGCAAAATACAATGCAGCCCAACAGTATAACCATATTGTGAGTTGATAAAGTCTAAGTCTGTGTATGATTTTCTAGCTATTTACCTTGCCTATGGGTGAGTCCGACTTCAGAGGGTCGTACTTCCCCTTGATGTGACAGGTTTGTACAACTTTTCTTCTTTGTAATTTACTTCCTTTTATTGAATACACAACGAAACAATTTTCAGGAAGCGGCCAATCAAAGGGCTGCCAGACGGTGGTGGTGGGGTTCGAACACTTGTCCCCCAAGGTGGTAATTTGGTGACGTTAGCACCGGGCCACCATCGCCACTTGATAATATTCTCGCATCAGGAGAAAAATACGGATAGTTGAAAAACCGGAGCACCAAGTTAGGGGCGGGACTCACTTGCGAGCGTTATTCAATGCGTTTAGATCCAAATCAACGACCACATCAATCCCGGACGCGTATCCCTCACTCGATCGTTCCTTCTCGCTGTCCGGGCGGTCCGATTCCGAGCTGTGCACGAACGGATCACTGGGAAATGGTCAGTGTTAGACACGAGCGTGCGCACACAGAGAGACAAGTCAGAACACTCACCTTAACCGGATCGTGATCTGGTTATACTGCAGATTCAATTGTGTCACGTGAATGGCCAATGAATCGCCTTGTGCTCTGGCCTCTGTCAGCCGCGTTTCCAATTCACCCCAATCCAGCTGATTGGACAGGGCATGGTTGATCATGAGGAGAATACTGTCCACCTGAGGTGCAAGAGGGACACGGAGAGGACGTGGTGATAAGAATGTGGCAATCGGATGCTTATCAATAAGGACAGAAATCTGAGAGACACGGCAATGACAATTTCGGCTTAGCATCCGAACTCGGAGACAGAAAATAACTCTATGAATCGAATAGCTATGATCTTAAAAGCAAGCCGCGCTCATTGATTAGCGAAAACGCGTTAAATTTCTTACACTCGCATCTGAATCTTTAAAAACGCACGAGGGGAGGCTCTCTGGAATACTCGGGAGTTATAAAGGTCCTAAGAGAAGCATGTTCGTAAAATTACATTTAAGATATAGTTAGTAAACAGATAACGAGACCTATCCATCTTCAGCAGCAGGGGATAACTCAAGTTAGAAAAACGCTCCGAGCGTCCAAAGGGTGGATTTTCAGCAATTTACTTACTTTTGTAGCATATATATATATATATATATACATCGGATCAGGGAGATTATTTACCAATGTGAGATAACCGGGGACTCGTTTGGAGTCTAAAGGGAACACCGATGCACTTTTTCGTGTAAAGTACAAGAAATCGGGATAGAAACCAATCGTAAAGTTAATCAAGACTGTCACGATGATGGCGGAAATTCTCTGGAATAGAGAAAGGACAACCAATCACTTGGTCATCAGCATACTTGCTGGTTATGAATTTATATGGGAATAGGAAGACGTTGTATGCACATAGAAAAGACAACTACACTAGGGCAGGTAAACCGTTCCACCTCGATCAACTGAATTGACTTCCAGATAAATTTGAGTACTTTTATTCACTTCAAATAAAAACGGATTTTATGAGTTCTTGTTTCGCCTAAGATCTAACATGTGTGGGCAGAAATGATTTTTGGCGTGCTTCCGTTCAGAACCGTAAACGCACATTTACACCATCATGTCAAACAAAGAAACAAGGGAGTGGAAATGTATCATTTTAACAAGATGGTATTATTATATTATATTTCATACACGTCTGAGGCCGGACTGTGAGCCAAACAAATCATGGAATATTAATTGGCTAAAGAAAAAACGTTCAACGATTCGCAGGTGGGCCGAATACTGCCAGGTTGCCCAGGCCAAGGCAGGTGAGTTTTCTTGAGGAATCCACAGTCGAAGCCTTCGGCTAGTCAAAGTCAGACCCGCAAGGAAGCGGGGCGGTGTGCGAAAACCGTAATATTTTGGGGACCGGTGCCCAGTTCATCGGATCATACGCCCATCGGACGGGGTAAAACGTCCAAGGTGTCCAATACATCTCAATGCCCAATCTAGTGATTATTGCCACAACCGGAAAGATATGGGTGTGGTTCGTACGTCGCTTGTTGGTTGTTTTCAAATCAGGGTTTTTGACCAACTCCCGTAGGTGAACTGCCAGTAGTGGTCCACCAACCCGGTTATAGCCTCCGCCACGAGATAGTGCTGGACAGGTGAGTTGAGTGATTTGGGTTGGGTCACGGGTCGAGGTCAAGTTAGATGACAAAATTTGGTATAAACAAACTGGTTCAAACCCATTGGCTTTACACGCCGGTTAAACGTAAACCAGGATAGGGAAAAAGTTGCACGGATAAGATTCAGTCGTTTTGCAAGACTAAATCAAGCTATGCTCCCGAACATGTCGCGGGATTAACAGAAAGGACGGAGCTGGGCACTTACTAAAACTCGATTTGATTCGAGCAGCTGGGCTTTGCGAACATCCGATTCCTGAAAACGATAAATAAGTGGTGAATAAGAATTTGACTTCGATTGTTAGTTGTGATACGGTGCTCTAAGTACTGAAAACTGTAAAATAAACGCTGTTTTCTCTCAAGCGAAATGCAAAGCGCTTGTGCACAAATGAGAATGCAGTGAAGGAAACAGGTTGATCTCCTCTGGATGGAGAGTTACTCGGCAAAACTAGTCCTGAATATTGTAAATTCTAGACCGAAATCGAAGCTTCATTGAAAAGAGAGACGCAGACAGTGACAGTGTTGCATGAAAGTACTTTAAACCGTATTCGGTCCAGAGAACAGCTTGCTGTGTCTGGAGAAGCAAAGGCGACTGTGATGGCTGATAAGCCCTAGTGCAAATCAAATGGTTGCACAGTGCTTTCAGTGGTCTGACACCTCGGCACTCCATTAAAAAATTCACCTTTAAACCACAGTGACAACCTTGTTTGTCTGACTACCGATCCTGCTCCGTGGAAGCACATATATCAGTGAGATAAGTACGAGCGAAGTTGCAGGGCACACCTTCAGGGATACACCTTATGGAATGTTAGGCGACACACTGTTAGATTGTTAGTTTGGCAGCCCTTGGGAGCAAATCGATCAGGTGCCGCTGCAAAAACAGTACTGTAACTGTATGGCAGCCGTATACCGAAAAAGGAAGTCACGAGAGGTATGTCGATTATCCCAAAACGACCTATGACCGCTACACCTCCTTTAGTACATCTTTTCCCATCAAGCATTAGACAAAACCGGTAATTATTGAACCGCGATCGTCGTAATTGTGTCAAATGTTGCAGCGGTAATAAACTAATGATAATAATGGAGTGTACCTTTATGAATAGTGTTTATTGTCCTCGGCTTACTAATATATTCACATCCCAAGGACGGAGTTCATTGCAAGTGAAGTTACGTAACGGTAATCATTCACTTTTAGCGGTATCCTTTTTCAGTTCATGTCAGGACTCGTGAAAGAAAAACAAAATACCGTTTGCGCCACAGTCGAGAATTTAACTCATAGGAGTATCGCATATTATACGGAAACTGAAGCTGTAAGAGATGTGTCAAATGGTTTGAGGATAAGGACACATCAGCGAAACCTTCTGCAACCAACATGTGGTGTAGTGTGGGACACCGGCGCCTCATTTCTTAGCCAAGCTTGGCAACATCAACATTTTTAGAAAAAAAAGTATCTCAACACTCATTGACCTCAGAGCATATTCCGATGCGGTTTGATCTGACTCGCCTACAGCGGTGTGACTACAGAGTTTAAGCGTCGAGGGTAAAGGATTGCGGGTCGACGCTCAAGCATTTCGGGTTTTGGCTAAAAGAATGCGGGTCAAGATGAAAGGATTGCGCATGATGGGAAAAGGTGTCGATCAAATGGACCGCTTCAATCCGATGCTGTGTGAGAACTAATCAATGTTTAAAGCCAGTCATGATGCGACCATGAAATAACCTGGATGATTTCCGTTACACCGGGCGTTACTATCGGTTTTCCACTGCACAATGCGCTTGGGATTGTCGGCTCCAGAGTGAAGAATTCATGGGAGAAAATCGACAGATAGAGCCGCATGATAAATGACGCGTTCCAAAAGTTGCAGGCTGAGGAGTGGTCGCCAAATTGGTGACTAACCGGGTGACTGCGATCGTGGAAGAGCAACCGGACTACGTGGTGGGTTTTCGATTAGCGAGGGTTCACCTTATGGAATAGCACACGATTCTGACGACGGTACTGCGACATGTGTCCTATCATTGATAGGGTTATCGTTTGCATGATAACAGTTTTCAGGAGACTTGTCTGTAACAGTTCTGTTGCTTTGTAGGTTGTGGTTGAACTTGTATGTATGTGCTAAAAGTACCATCTGCAACAAAGAGGCCAATGATATTGGGAACACCGCTTGTAAGTGTGGTCGATGGTACGAATTTGTCCTCTAGAAGGAGACATCAGAGTCAAAGTGAGTATCACTAGGGGAAGTGTGAAGAGGATGGCATTATTCTCACTTCTTGGCAGAGCGGCGAGCTCGGACGCCTGTTGGACTGGTTCTCTATCCTTAAAGCAGGCCCGCCTCCTGTACATCTTACACAGTCGAACTAGATTTGCACGTTTAGTAGCGATCAAAAAAGAGTTTATCGTGACACGATAACGATCATGTTCATCACAGTGAAATGGACACCCGTCTGGTGTGAGAAAATGCTCCGCTCATTTTTCAAAGTTAACGCGATCGATGGATGGAGACGTCTGAATTCTCCTCATACATTCAAAGAGCTCAGACGTGACGCGTTCAGTTTCCGTATGTACAATCATCAACCATGCACTTTCGTTTAGGTTGCTGTCTTTTGGCTGCCCATTTGGACGAACAGTAGAAGAAAGATAGGAAGGTTGAAGGTAGAATCCAAAAGAAAATTGAGGACCACAGTAAACATAGCATGCAAAGAAGTTGGGAAGATGCACGAATGCACTGCTTGCGATATAACTCAGTGTATTTAACCATCCGTTACAATCATCCCCTGGTCCCCATCCAGGGAGTCTAACAGGGTCTATGTGACCCAGACTCCTGCCTAGGATTAGGATTTTCATACCCTCACGACAGGTCTAAGCTTGACCACTCTTGGATTTATTCCACCCACCACCCGGACCGGCGAACACCGCTCGCCATGGCAACCTATGTGGTGACATGCGTTACACATGTCCCAAACAACGCAATCTATGGAAGTCAATTACTTGCTCCAGTGGACGACTGCGATTATTTAAAACTCTACACCTAACCCCAGCATTGCTCGTCCGGCTGCCCTACCAGACTCGTGCAATGCGACGTAGACAGTGGTGTTCAAACACCGACAGTCTATCTTTATCCTGTTTTCTAAATAGCCAAGTTTCCGCACCGTGTGGAAGAACTGGTCGAACTGTCGCGGCATACACTCGACCCTTGACGGACATCCGGATATCGCGGCGGCGCTAAATATACCTTCAGTTGGCGAATGTCAGAGTAACGAAGAAATCACGTGGTTAGCTAAGGCGGCCAGCAGACGCAATCGCGTAGAGATCGATGAAACTGATATCCAAAGTGGAGAATAATGAACAGGTATTTACGCGTAGGTCTAGACTAAAATGATCGAAAATCATCGTGCAGCTAATGCTCAGGAATAATTTTGTTGACCATTTTGTGCTCTATGAACCTGTTCAGATATTAGAATCTCAAAACGGCAAACCAGAATACACGGTAGGCATGAGGAAATCGCAGTAAGACGATTTGGGTTAAGGGAGTAAAAAGGTCCTAACACAGGAAGGGAATACAGCAAATCTACACAGAAGCATGTTGACAGTTGGGCACTGCGGGGAAACCAAACATCTCATCCGCGCCAGTGAGTAAACTGGGACAGTTACCGACTGAGTA